TCAACAAGAAACTCGAACAGATACATCACATAACTGAGTAAACACCACGCGGTCGATTACAATCGAAGAAGTAACCGACAGAAACAGTCTATAGCGCAAAACGTGCAGAACAAGAAGATAGTAATAAAGTTACTTTGTGACAAGACTAAAGTTAACATGAAAAACGAATGCAAAGGGATATCTAGAAGAACTGGAGAGCTAATATCCTGGCAGATCACAGTAAAGGTGTGTTAAAAACTTTATTCCTGACTCAAGTTACAAGATAAAAATCAAACAATATATCAAAAACAATTTTCAATCAATGGTAAAAATGTCACGCTATCGATGTAGCATGCAAACAGTTGCCCTATTAACCGGGTTTTCGAAGGGCGAACAATTACCAGATGTTTCAGTTAAAATTAGACTAAACAAATGAGAAAATTAACCACAATTTTGTGACAAACTTGAACCAAATGAAACAACCAAAAATTCTTGCGTGACCTACGCTTACTGTACGACCAACGACACTAACTTTCGGGAAATGGAGCACAATGAAAGGAGTCACGCTAAGTAAAGCCCTAGAATGCCTCGTCTGCGTACATTAGCCCTTAGCGCTTAGTGCGCGCCACGCATTCAAGTGCGTAATGACCCTACAGTCCTCTTTTCTTTTACAAATGTGGAATAAATCGGCAGTGAGTCAATAGCTAAGAAGATAAAGAAATTTAATTTTGTACAACGCCAAACCAATCAAAGCAACCCTGCTGAAAAAGAATTGCCATCAATGAAATTGAGTCTTTAAGTTAGGCCTCTTTTAGTAGATTCATAGATTAAACGAAGCTCAAAATCAGAGCCCTGGTAAGTTTGTTCTCCAGTCCTTCACTTTATAAAAACTCCTCAACACTGGCTGTCAAAGATTATTTAGGGAATTTCAGGACCGATCATGAATTATCTAGAGAGGGCATGGAGTCAAGGTCTTTCAGGTATCAAGAGGGTTGGCTTTAATTTCTGAATTTAACAAATAAGGTTATCATTTTTTCATCAGTCAAGTGGACAATGAGAGTGAATGAGACAATAATATTGACTATGTTACTTGTGCAAATATCCGTCCAGAGGAGGATAAAAAGCAGGATATGGTCTGCACAATTCCCTTGGTTTAATTTTCTAACTTATCAAGCCGGGGCACTCATATTTTTTGCCTTGTGCACTATTATGTGGATGCCAATTAATGTAAACGTTAGGAGTAACAATACAAAAAAATAAAAGGTACTCTCTATCTGTGTGCCCCTGAATGTTAAAGGGTGGGAGGGGGGAGGAAGGTCAGAGTAAAAACAATCATTCTAAAGGGCCAGGTTGCTCTATAAACTCAGGCCTCCAGTCCTTACTTTACCACAATCCCACCTTTTTAAACCCCCATTGTCTCGTGACAAATTGCTCATATCAAAGTTTCTCTTGTGGAATGGGTATCAACGTGTGAAAGAACAACAAGAAAACTTGAGTCTGAATATTTAATTCCATTCAAATAGCATTGCATGTTACAATCAGTGGTGACTACAGCGAAATTATGTAATCACACATTTTTAAACAAAAGAAGTCAGGTTGAAGGCAGGCCTNACCCATGATGGAAAAAAAATAAATTTAAAATAAACCAGTCTCAATGTAAAATCCAAAATCAAAATAGCCTGCTGATGATTAAGAAAAACCGCAG